ACACACACACACACACACACACACACACACACACATGCATTGGAAAATGTATGTAAAATAAATTGGGTAAGGCATCCTTGAAGCTTCTTCCTCTTCAGTATCTGAATCATCCTTCTTTACAGTGAGATGGCACAGACTCCTATCCATCTCTGACAATTTCATCTAAGCTGCCTGACCCCTTCTCACCAGAATGGGTCAGCAGAAGAAATTTCAGGTGAAAGTTAGGATTCATTCTATATTAGTATTTTAAATGTTCTTCAAAATATGAATGTTTGTGATCACTCAAATAATGGAAGTAACACACAATGCCAGTGTGCAAAGGCCTGGCAGCCGCACTGGTGCAGGATGGTTGCCACATGAGCAGCAGACCCTGGAAGAATCCATCAAGTGTAAAACATTATTGCTAAAATAACATGATGTGACAACTGGCATCTTAAAATTAATGAAATATGGGGGTGGGTAGAGAGATGGATCAGTGGTTAAGAGTGCTTACTGCTGTTCCAGAGGCCCTGAGATCAGTTCTTAGCACCCATGTTGGATGACTCACAATTACCTGTAACTTCAGCTCCAGGGAATGCAACTCCTTCTTTTGGCCTCTAATGGTACCTACACTCATGCACATATACTCACACATAGACACACACATGCATACATATAATTTTAAAAATAAAGCCTTTGAACAGTAATAATAAAAAATACCATATTAAAGAAAAATCACATTTGAATGTAATAAGTAATTTGAGCTCCAATTCCAATTAATGGCATATGTGTGTGAAATGATGTTCCAAACCTTTTTAGTTCTCTGATTTTGTAATATAAATTTAACTTTATTTTAAAGATGTTTGAGAACTATTACCTATGCTCTGTTGAAAACCTGTGCATTACATTAAAATGGTTATAGTCATACAAACTACATGTTAAATGCTTCCAGTTTATTTTCCCATATACTTTTATAATATAGTGGGTTTTTTAAAATTTATCAGTGGCTGTAGAGATGGTTCAGCAGTTAAAAGCAGAGACGGCTCACCAGTAAAAAGCACTCACTGGTCTTGCAGAGAACATGAGTTTGGTTCCCAGCACCCATACCCAGTAGCTCAGATCAGCCTATAAATCAAGCTCCAAAGGATCTGATGTCCTTTCTGGTCTTTGCAGACATCCACACGTGGCATACAGACCCAGACTCCCCACCCACACACATACACATAAATAAAAATAAAAATATACCTTTAAAAATAAATAAAATAGCTCATCAGTTTGAATGGTGATGCTTGCCTCCAGGCCCAGGTTCTCAGGAAGGTGAGGCAGGAGAATTGCTCCAGTCCAAGAATTTGAGGCCATCCTGGGCAACAGAGTGAAAATCACACACACTTCATTAAATATATATAATATAATTAATATAATATAATATAATATAATAAATAATATATATAATATATATAAAGAAAAAGTTAAAAACAAACCATTACTTTTGATATATCAAAAAGTCCAAATGTATATTACATGTGAACTAGTCTTCTTCCTTTGAATGTTAAAACACATTCCGTCAGTTTTCCCAAAATAATATTAAGTATAAATAACTGACCCCTCTTTTTGTGAGACACGGTCTCCCTGTAGCCTCAACTGGCCTGAAACTCACTATGTAGACACTAAGCCAGCCTGGATCTCACTGAGATTTGCCTACCTCTGCCTCTCTGGGATTAAAGGCACGTACCTTTCAACTAATATTTCTCCCTCACTTCTCTCTACCTCAGGTCCCATCAGTAGTATCTTGGTGAATAACTATGGGAGTCGACCGGTCGTAATACTTGGAGGGCTACTCTGCTGTGTAGCCATGATCCTGGCCTCGTTCAGTACCTCTGTAATACAGCTTTACCTCACGGTCGGCTTCCTTGGAGGTAAGCCAAGCTTTGCTTTCAGCTAATTCTGATTGCAGCTCTACTAGGTGGCAAAACTCTCTAATAAGGACAAAAACAGATAATTCTTAATGTTTAGAGTTTATTCCAAGACAATGCTATTTTAATGTATTTTTTATCTGGTGTGTTAAATTACTGTGGTATGGGGTAAATATTTCATTTTAAGAAAGGAGAAAAATGTCAGATGTTATGTGTTATCCTAGACATACAGAAAAGGAAGCAGCTTTGATTTGCTTTGACGACTTCACTTTTTACTCTTCTCTCAGTTGAGGTGGTATTGTAAACACAGACCTTCTGGTATGAATACACAGCTTCATCTTTTAAAAACATGTTTATTTCTATTATAGTATCCAACCTACAACTGGCAATTAGTTAAAAGTGATGTCAAAGAGACATATTTTGAATACACTGAATTAACATCTACAATAAAATCATTACCATTTGTGTTCTGAAGAGTGGTAGTTCTCTTTAGCTCTAGTCAGTTCTTTCCTTCAAAATGACATCAATTTTCCATCATGGGGAATATCCATTGACTCAAATTGACCCAAAATTGTGTATTTAGAAAGTGTTACTTTTATTTTCCTTATTGATAAATTTTATTGTTAAAATCTACATTTGACATTTTAAGAAAAATTGAACTTCTGAATACCATGGGGTTAAACTTTTCTCTCATGCACATAGATATTTCTCTTATTTCAGACTTCAGATCAGTGTAAAAGCTTATTAACGTTTACTCTAAGGTATTCACGTTGGAACATGCTAATAAAGCCAGTACTAGGGAGCCTCTGCATTGTGAGTTCAAGGCCCACCTATGCCATGTATGGAGACCCTTTCTAAAAACCAAGAAGTAAGAAGAATGCAATAATAGTGATGATAAATTTCTGTGTTTATAACCTCTCCGTGTCTCTCTGCCCCTTTTCATATGGCAAAACACTTTTTGAGATCAAGTGAAAACCTTCGATCTAAGCATTTTCATTGTGGAGAGACAGTCTTTCTTTACATTGTACAGAGATGGATTCTTTCCTATTACCCCACAGGTGCTAGAGATAGAGAGAGTAGTGAGGCAGTGATTTTGATGTTCCTGCATTTGAGATGTCAGCACCATCATTCCTATTCAAACACTATTTCATTGGTTTGGGTCTTGACCTTGGTGTTTCCAGAGTGAACCGCTGTCTACCATTTTACTTGGAATAACATCTAAAGGCAAAAGTTCCAGGTCACAGAATGGGGAGAAAATGAAAAAAGATAAACGAACTCCAGTAGCTGGCTTTGTGATTATGTTCCTCTACTTAGAACCCGCAGGACCATAAACCGCTGAAAATCAGATCCAATTTATAGCTGTTCTGCATATGTCACCAGTGGGTTTGAGGATGATTAGAGAGCATGCCCTTCTGTTCTCTCGAAAACGTTTCTTCTCCGCCTTTAAATATAACCTTTTATTCATAAAAATGTACTATTTATTAATTATACTTAAACCTGTATGCCCTAAAACATAAGTGCTTAACAACTTTGCAATATTATTTCAATTTATCTAAATTAGTCCTTAGAATAGCCTACAATGATACCTAACCTAAAGGGGGCAAAAGATGTGTGTATATAAATCAATCTTATGTATTTTAAAAAGGAGCCTTATTCATTTCTATTGCTAAGGAGTGCTTGGGTGCTTGCTCAAGTGATAACTCATTTCTCAAGGGCAGAACCAACACTAAAGAAATTCATGATGGAGGCTTGGGATCACAGAGTCATCTAAAAAGCCCAGAAATAAGGTATCTTCCAGACCAAAAAGACAAAAGAAAACAAAATAAAAACAGCAAAAATTCATTTTAGCCCCTGTGTGAATTGTTAGATGTTAAATTTAGAACATGATAGATATAAAGCTCAACACAGATGGCAAATGCCTGGTGTTGAAACAAAAGAAAACAACAATTGTCAAAGCTTGTATTTTAGTCTGTTCATAGTACTTTAACTTTGGTAACAAAGCATTCTCATTTTTAAATTTCACTTTCACTCACAAGAAAAAAAACTATTCCATTTATTTGCAAGTAAGTATATATTAGGAGGAAGGTATTGATTTACCTGTGGAACTGGAAGATTTTGATTGATAACAAATTTGTCCTCACTGTAACCTTGAATGTTTTTCAAACCTCAGTAGTTCTAGGTCTTATTTCTGTGCTTTAAAATAAAGGCTCTAAAGTGTTCATATTGTGTCCGGTTAAAAAAAACAATTCAGTTTTGTTCAATTATGTTTATATTTATAACCTTAGGTTATAGCTTACTGCAGTACTGGTTTGTGTCTGTCTTAGCCTTTTGAATGGATATATTGAAATTTCTTTTGTGAGCAGCATAATGTGTTTGTGTTTTCTTTTCTCCTTTTTCCTTGTTCTTTTTAGGTTTAGGCTTAGCCTTCAACCTGCAACCAGCCTTAACAATAATTGGCAAATACTTCTACAGGAAGCGGCCCATGGCGAATGGATTGGCCATGACCGGGAGTCCTGTTTTCTTAAGCACATTAGCTCCTTTCAATCAGTACCTATTTAATACTTACGGCTGGAAGGGAAGCTTCTTGATTTTGGGAGGAATATTTTTGCATGCCTGTGTGGGTGGGTCTCTCATGAGACCCGTTGATCTCAAAGAACATACTTCTCAGTCTAAAAATACGATTGCTGCAAAAGAAGATTCAGGTATAAAGAAAGCCAGTAAGGCATCAACAATAGGCAAGATTAATAAATATTTAGATTTCACTCTTTTCAAGCATAGAGGATTTTTGATCTACCTCTCTGGAAATGTCATTATGTTTCTAGGGTTTTTTGCCCCTGTTATTTTCTTGGCTCCATATGCTAAAGACAGGGGAGTGAGCGAGTATTACGCAGCCGCCTTGCTGTCTGTGATGGCTTTTGTTGACATGTTCGCTCGGCCTATTGGAGGACTAATTGCAAACTCCAAATTAGTCCGACCCCGAATTCAATACTTCTTCAGCCTTGCAGTAATGTTCAATGGAGTCTGCCATCTCCTATGCCCCCTGGCAGATTCCTACACAGCCTTGGTGGTGTACGCTATATTTTTTGGCTATGGATTCGGAAGTGTTAGCAGTGTCCTGTTTGAAACTCTGATGGACCTCGTTGGTGCTGCGAGATTTTCCAGTGCCGTGGGACTTGTCACAATTGTGGAGTGTGCCCCAGTTCTTCTCGGTCCACCTCTTGCTGGTAAGAATAAGTCTCATCAGGCAAAGCAATAAGCTTAGCATAAATATGACTGAACTGAAAATTTCTTTACAGTGACATGTATTTTGAATGACTCTAGTTGCCTAAAAGACTGGAGGGGTTAATTATGTACTTGAAAATTTCATAATCAGTTGAATGTAGTCCCAAGTTTAAGAGTCTGGACTTGTGAACTTAAGAATGTAAGTTAGATTAATAGTTAGCATTTTTAACAACATCAATTATTGGATTCTTTTAAGAGTATATTATAACAATAAAATGTGTCTATCATTGTTGAATCAATTTCTATTTTGATTACATAAAAATGAGGCAAAATATAAAATGAACTGAAATGTTACAATCAATTTTTATTATAGTATATTAGCTATATTAATTTTGAATTTGTATGCCTAGGGTAGGCATGCTTTTATTTCACTGATACAGAATGTAGGTGTGAAAGGAAATATATTCAAAGTTAGTGTTTTGAGTGGACAGTTTATAAATGGCAAAGATTACATGTAGGCTTTAAGATCTGAGATATTTTCAAAGATGGTTATGAAAATACTATATTGATTTAGTGAGTAAGGCAATTAAGTACGTTTAGCATACCACCATGCCAAAAAATTTGAGAAGCTTGTCTGACATGTTTTTAAAGAGAAAAAGACATCGTGAGAATGTGTGGAAGAGAGAAAGGGAGGAAAGAAAAGAGGAGGGATAGAAGGAACAGGGGCACGTAAAAGAAGATAAAAGAGTTGTTGGAGAAGCATTCAATTTTGTTGCTTTCCTTTAGATTGTGTCTTCCTTTTGGAACCTAGTTACAGTGCCTACAGGAAGGAAATTATGGTAGACAATTCTACTGTTCCATCCAAATTTACATCTTAAAGACCTATGTATTAACTCCGAATTTGAAGTTAATCTTTGCTTAGTCTTAGATTTTAAATATTTTTGATATTGTTATTATTTATGGCACAGTTTTGTCCAGCAATCCTTATGCGCAGGCATGCTCCTGTGCGTGTGTACGCACGTGCATGTGTCTATGTGCGCACGTGTGTGTGCGTGTGTGTCTGTGTGTCTGTGTGTGTGTCTGTGTTGTTGTTACAGCTAATACTGAGATCACTCAGATTCTTCATCTGGCCCCTAGTGCTCAGAGCCAAGCTAAATTAAAAATTTCTTGTCTTTGGTCAGTTGTTTAACTGCGTATTTCAGAATGTCAAGGAGGCCCTGTGCGAGTGGGACATTCATGATTAATTTGTTTAATCTTAATGCTGTCGTTGGCTTCTTGTCTATCATTTCACTGTCAATTAGAAAGATGTCCAAGCCACTGTCAGACCTTAGTGATGCTGTCACTTGCCACCAGTGTGCTTTAGATGGCACGGCTTTCAATGTAGACACACTGTCAACAAGGAGACTCTGAAAAAAGAGTGCAGGCCATTAGGTCTTGGTGTCCACCAGGCAGCTGGCTTTATTATATAAGAAAGGCACAGTGGGCCTAGGTTTCCACATACAGAATTTAGTTGACAAAAAGCGTCTTGGAACTGATAAGTTAGTGATAAAATTCTATGGCTAGTGAAAAGTGATGTCACCATCAGTGATGGAATGCAAACGACTATCAAGTCAAGTTAGAAAGACACTGGATTGGTTCTAGTCATTGAAATAAAGGAATCTAACTTGTCCACGTCCACCTCTGCTGAGAACACCTGTAAATATTCTGGATCATCGCTGAGACTAATTCTTGCCTACTTTCTATTGTTGCTGCTCCTGTTGGTAGGACGTTGGGAGTGTGTGGCATTTTATTTACTTATACATTTGTTTATTTCATAGTGAACTTTCATGACTGCCCTCATAAATAGCTGATGCTTTTCTCTTGGAAAGCATATTTTATTTCTTGATGCTAATAAGTCCTAAACCTTTGAAAAGTGTTCTAAGATGTTAGTCCAAAATGATATTAATTGATGAAACTATGGCCCCCTAAGTGTGTGTCCTCCTCACTGCAATAACCACTGTACAAACAGAATCTTTGAATAAAGTCAAGAAGGAAAGCGATACAGGTATGCTTCTTCAAATAAGCTCATTGCTTGTTAGACCCTTAATGTTCTTCCTAATTAAAACAGACAATTTTGTTCAAATGGGTAAATATTTCAAGTAGCTGAATTTGCTCCTGAGCCACTTAACTAGATTGTAGTCAGAACGCTAGAGAATCTAACAGAACAAATGGACTTGAAAGATCTGCTTCAGAATTCCTTGGACTATAAATGATAAGTAATGTAGATATGAGACGTCAAACTTTGTCCTTTGTGCTTGTTAGGAATTAAATGATTGCTTGAGCAAGAGACAAAACTAGACATAGCAGAAAAGGTATTTTAGAGTCAACTTCAAATAAGCTTATTGCTTGTTAGACCTTCAGGTTAGGTGGCGGTAGACTAGTTTTAGTCAAATGGGGCAAATGGTTTCATCCTGACTAGTTTAGCATAGGTTATAAACTCAATAAAGTGAAAAAAAAAAGCATTTAGCACTCCAAATGGCATAGTTTCTATGGAAAAGGTATCTACGGAAGAAACCTAGTTAAGAATGTGAGGTTGTGATGGGTCTCGTTTAAGAGCCCACAATCTTGAGAGATGGCTCACAGGTCACGTCAAGAGTATTCAGTTACACAGTTACACAAATGCATAAATAAAAATAATACAAATCTTTAAAGAAATAATAAGAGGGTCTAGAGAGATGGATCAGCAGTTAAGAGCACTGGCTGATCTAGCAGATGATCCAAGTTCAGTTTCCAGCACCCACATGGTGGCTAACTCCAGGTCTGGAAATCTGATATCCTCTTTAGGCCTCCATGGGCATTCCATCCATGGGTACACTTACATACATGCAGCAAAACATACATAAAATAAAAATACATAATTTTTAAACATTAAAAAGCAACCAAACATTAGCTTTATAATTATAACAAAGACAACTTTTTTTAAAAAGCGTCCAAAGTCTACCAGGCACTGGCTATAACCATGGTCAGAACACTTCATGTCATGACTGACTATAAGGGTCAGAGGAGACAGTACAAACGGAGCACTCAGCCTGTGGTGAGCACAGACAAATGGTGAATATTAAGCCCTGTCGGGAACCATATAAGAGCCTTTGGTTCTTTCTAAAAGAATGTAAAGTTGTCCTTAGTGAGGAAGAAAAGAAGCATGAGAAGATGAAGTAATCTCAGTGATTATGATGTAAATTAGTAGTTAACACCTAAGAGGCTACATGCCTGAACACAAAAAAGAAGCCTCATAAACCAATATATTAACATAAACACACAAGTATGCCAAACGTCTTTCGGTTATCCGCTTTCATTGGGAAAAATAGTGTTCAACAAATATAATGCATTAGTAATAAAATGCTGTTGATGTCTGTACCTGCCTTTACTGAGTGTATATACAGGGGTCGTAATCTAGAATATTTTCTGCATTAAGGTCTAATACAATCCTAATCGAAGTAAGAAGAATGCAGTTTGTCTGAGGACGAGTTTAGTTGAAAAAACTGTTATTTATTTGAAACTTATGCCATCTTCAAGGTTGTTCTCTTGTCTCTTAGGTAAACTGGTGGATATAACTGGAGACTATAAATACATGTACCTAGCCAGCGGGGCGATCGTGGTAACAGCAAGCATATGGCTGCTTATTGGCAATGCTATAAACTATAGACTGCTTGCTAAGGAAAGGAAGAAAGAAAAAGGAAGAAGGAAGAGGTCAGCTAGCCCCTCCAAAGAGACGGAACCATTGAGCAAATCTAAACACGAAGAACTTTCCGTCGAGGTTTCAAAAGTACACAGTATTCCTTCAGAGAAAGGACGAGAAAAAGAAAGAGAAAGTAATATTTAACACAGAGCACATCTCCAAGTTCAGTGTTTAGAACTCTATTTAGGAGTTTCTTTTGTTCTTCAAAATATTGGAAATGATTTTAACTGAAACAAGGCATCACAACGAATAACGAGAAAACTATTTTCCTCAATGGGTTTAGAAATTCATGTTTTAAAAACTTATTTGGGTAGTTAAATTTTAAGAGTGAACCCATGCAATGGGCTTATTTCTATACAAATCAGGGTGTTGTGATGAAAAAGAAGACTTTAAAAGCTTCCCAGTGATTTCTGGTTTTGGTTATAGAAGAAGAGCTGCACCCCAAGGCCCTGACCCACTTATGTTCAATCTCACATGGCAACCTACTTCACAGCTCATATTTTACTGATAGTAAAAGAATGAAGTAGAATTGAGGAAAAATAGTTTCCTCACACTCGGTGAGTCACATACATATCCACATGAACACTGAGTATCTGGAGAACATAAAGAAATAAATGAATTTGAAAAGAATATTATCATAGTCATTTTTAAGTAAAAAGAAATAACTCCAAGGAGAAAAAGAAAATGTACTAAGTTTATATGCAGTTTTACAATGTGCATTTAAAAGAAAACACATGGTGAAAACCAAGGTGGCATTAATTTGAACATACTAAAAAAGCATTTGTGTATGTAAATACGTTTGATAGGAGAGACTCCTTTTTGCACCACTATTGCTGTGCTTTCTTATACTTGGTCAACCATAAACACAATTTCTTTGAGGGAGGACTAAAGTGCCTGGGGCTAGAGAATTGGACCCTGCAAGTAATTTCCTAGAACTCTGACCTAACATAAAATTAAATTAAAAGTGAGAGTACCAATGCATCTCTCAGATCTCAACGAAGCTCCCTTACACAACAGAGGGTCGTGAACACAAAAGGACAAAGATGGCCAAAGCATAGAGAATAAGAGTTTCAGAGTGCGGATCCTTGGACAGGTCTACATTAAACTTCACCCACCCAGGGCTCAGGTACCATTATGGAAGAGGGGATAAAAAGACTTCAAAAACCAGGGAAGGAAGTGCATGACCATATCAAAATAGAGTCTTACAGGCCCCTGGGCTCTTGTTCATATGAACCTACAGCAATGGTGTCAGATGCACAAGATGCATGCAAACCCAAGCCAACAAAAACCCAGCACAGAACTGTGGGAATGGACAGCAGGCCCCAGTCTTAGCCGAAGAACTATCGGCTACTGATTACTGCTGGTGGAGGAACAACTGATTTTCTTAAAGGGAGGGACTCTTAGATAGGTTGACTTAGCCCTCAGTGAATGCATTTGCACTGAGGGATGCCTGGGGACACTAGCTTGACTTGATAGGCCTTAATATCAGTGACAGAATGCATGAAATCCAGTGGTGGTGGGGGTGACAATGGAGAAAGGAATATAAAGATGATTAAGATGTTCTGTATGAAACATACATAAAGTCAATTAAAAATTAAAAAATAAATAATGTAAAAATGTTTTTAAAAGATTGTGTATGAAATACACAAAAGATCAATCAACATATACACACATATACACACATATATATATAGAAGAAAAATAAAATTTTAATCTCAATGATACCTTGCAGTGAGCTAGTACACTGATTCAAAAAGTATTTTAGTTCATAACTCAGAAATTAAGAACCATGGATTTCTTTTGACTAGACCAATACAGATTCAATGTTGTACTGAAATATGAAAATAAAACATAACGCTAGCTGAAAAGTTCATATGTTGACCAAATTCTTACTCTTCCTAACACAAAGCAATTATCAAAAGTTATTGCTATGAGTAATTCATAGAAGTCCAGCTGACATGGATGGGAGGCCATTTTATCGAGCTCTCTAAACTCTCTTATTTCCATCCCACAGAAAGCAAAAATCAAACCACAGCCAGGTCTTTACCTCAACTACTGAAGATATCTCATGTTATAGGAGTAAAAACATTTGGACATTCTACTCTGATTAGACTACCTGCTACCTGGGACTATAACCAGGAAAATGAGGAAGTGGAAGCTTCTAGAAATGCTAGAAATGTAGGCTGTGTGTGACTTGGAATTATAGGTACATAATTTATAGTACATAAGTTGTAATATTGTTGCCCGGGTTAATTTGGCAGTTTCTCATTTTCCTATGTGAAAATACCTGGGAATCAGAATCATTCTCAACAGAGATGGTCTTCACAGTTCTGCTTTCATAGTTTGTAAACACCATGGATAACACTGTAAATGTTCTTAAAAGTCGGAAGTTTATAGGTAGAAAGAACTTAGTGTTATATTGTTGAAGTGATGTCACTCTTACGATGTTTAAGGGACTTTGCCGTTCTTTTATAAAATTTTTATTGTAGTAGAGATGGGTGCTATTCTTAGTTCTTATGAGACTGTGCCCGACATGATGCTGTTATAACAGTTAACAGTAAAGATTTGATTTTTATTCATAAAATGTATATACTAATGAAACATGTGGTTCACATTTAGAAAGAGGCAATTGCTTTCAATCATTTAATGTTTTCTTTTATGAATATGGAAGTATTTTTAACTTTCAATTATTAAATAAAACAAGATGTGCCAATACCATAGGCAAATAAATCAGGAAAATATGTGACAGTATATGACTATTCTCTAATTTAGTCCCACTCAGTCTTGAATCTACTGTTTTTATGTGAGCACTCCTTTTGTATTCAGCTTTCAGTCATAAGAAATGCAATGTCATTCTAACCATTCTAACATTTCCAAAAGGAATATCTTGCATTCTTTGAAAATATACATTTGGGCTGGGTGTGGTGGCTCACGCCTTTAATCCCAGCACTCAGGAGGCAGAGGCAGGCGGATCTCTGAGTTCAA